TTCAATTACTTTTAATGTATGAATTCTGGTCATGTCTTCTATATTCATTGCCTTAGTTTGTTGTAAGTTATGCCCTCTTTATCTAGGTACTATTTTTGATAATGTAGTTCAGATGGGAAACGTTAGTTTATCCCTGTTTTGCCGGGGTGTTTAGTTATTGTACATGCAGAATTTAAAGTTCAAAAAGTTTCCTTTGTTTTTCCATGCAGAAATTTTAACATCTCCTCCCTTTTCTGTGGGTGAAGCCATGTTGTGCATTTGTAAGGACATTATTTGCATTGAGAAACTGTTTGAGTCTATCATTGAAAGTCTTTCCAGAATTTTTGAAAATCCTGATAATTTAAAATAATATGCCTGAGTCCTCTTCATTGCTTTCTAAAATTGACATTTCTAATCTCCTAATTACATTTATTTCACTACCATTTGTTTTTAAATTGAAACATGATGAGTAGAGGTAATGCCTCACAGCTATAATTATTTCACGATTTGTGTGTAGTTAATTTTTGTTTTCTTTTCTAGTAATATTTCTAATCCTCATAAATGAGATTGTGATTGGGAAATGGGGTCAAAGTATATAGAATTATTAAAGAACATAAACCACTGCCACCTGCGAGATCAAGGAAAGACATGCCAGCTTATGGATTTGTGAAATATCTCAAAGAATAATAACAGTAATGCTAGATAAGGACCAGTGGCGGAACTATCACTCCAGGGGCCCTGGTTACAAGATTATCAAATATCACACATATTTATAAAGATAGTTTGTTGCTTTAAATTTTCAATTAATATCTTTTTTTGAAATATTGACAATAAAAATATTAATAATATCATGTAAACTTTTCATAGCTAATAATTTTATTTGAAAAAAGTAAATTATATTATTGTTGTTAAAAATTAGTATTTTTAATTAAGTAAACATTAATGCTATTTACAGTACATGGAAGACACTGTCATAAATGTTGGCCTAGCATCAAGTTATTGACAATATTTTTGATAACTATTCAATATAAATAGAAATTTTTTTTGCGCCTCGAAGAAAAGACTAAACAAGCAGGGCCCTCTGACACGAGACATTGTTCAATTTTCGGGAAGGTCCCTTGGTACATAAAAGATCTTCTCCCTCATATGTCACGTACAGTTTTTTGACTAAATAAATCTAAATCATTGTAAAAACCTCTGATGCAGTGGCACCCTCCGCAATAATGTACTATTCTTATACTTATTCATTGTCTGCTATTTTTTATTTACCTTTTAATACAAGGGATAGAGGACGAAAGTAATTGTGGAAAAATAGTGAAAGTGGAACAACACTTTTTCTCAATTTTTTATATTTTTTATTTCAGTCAGGTATAAATAGAAATGTATTAAATAAAAACTTGAAACTAAGAACATTTAGTTTGTGTGTGGGGTAGAGATCTTTAGAGCCTGAGGTGCCTGCGCATTGCACCAGCTGCACCACTGGTAGCGCCACCACAGATAAAAACTACATATACACAAGAACAGTAGAGATGTAGTAGAACAAGAAATTGAAGTATTAAATGATCCATCAGAATGTCAGGTTCTCTTTTGAGATAGAGGCTACATACCCATCTATGGATATATGTATTGTAATTGAAATATGTAGGACAAACAAAAAGGAAAATACAAACCAGAATAAATTAACATAAGAAAAATATAAGTGAGCTACCTGAAAGAAAAAACACTACCTCAAAAAACCTAATAGAAAATCTCCATTAAATTAAATGTAACAAAATAAAAATTTTTGATAGTGAACTAAGAAAGATAGTGAGTCTAATATCAGAAAGAAAAAAAAAATATGAACATGCAAAAGTCAATGACAGAAACTAACCAATTGATCACAACATACAACAATGCCAGCTAATGGTTGAAATGAAGCTAAAGAGATTTTCACAAACTTCTTCCTTTCTCCACCCTCTACCTTCCCTCATGGACAACTTGCCTCTAAAGAAAAATAACAAGGGACTTCCACTGTGTCTGAGACGGTCATACTGCATACTGTGTAAGTTGACCATGTGGCCAATGCAATGCGTAATGCATATAGGAAAAGGTGAGTCATATTGACAACTTATATTGGTTCAAACATATATTGCAAACTAATTGTAAATTTTAATTAAAAATATACTATGTAACTTAGTGAAAATAATGCTGTTGTGTAAGATTTTTTATAAGATTTATGAAAATAATTTGAAATTAATTGATATTAATTTTTAAACACTTGAAGGGAATGAAATGTGTTCTCAAAACATGTGACTACAAATGTTTTGAACTGAAAAATGATCTTATGATGAAAATTGATTGGTTATAAGCAAATAAGGACATGAAATAAACAAATCAAACAAAATTCTTTAATTTATATTCTGGCCTTACATAAATTACATTAGCACAAATTTGAATCATTTTTAATATCGCCTCTCCCTCCTGTAATGCGTGCTTCACCCTCTCTTTCTTCCCTAAATAATTACAGAACACTTGATACACCTTTCCCGTTTTCAATAAGTAAAATAAAATTGTATAATAGTAAGAACAATTTGCATTAATTTTAGTGTTACAAATTCAAATTAATCATAATTAAAGTCTGAAATAGTTGATAATGCTGAAGGCATGTAACAATAAAATTGGGGGACAATTTTTAAATGAAGGAAGCAACAGAGAAATTTTCTGGTACGTGTACATGAGGAGTATCTACTGTGTCGATTTAATTGAATTCTAGAATATACTATAGATCAATTTTGAATATTTCCATTTTAGTTTAAGATTCAATCAATAAGCTAATGATGAAAAATTAGTTCCCATTATTGTAAACATTTAGACATAACTTTGTCTTGCATCGAAACTTCGCTAATAAGTTGTTGAGACAGTTGTAAGCATATTTTGTCTAATGAATTACTGGGTCATTCCCAATGGTTGAACCGCAATAAGCACTTAAAAGTCGGTTTGAAAAAATGCTTTCTAGGCAAAATTTGCATTGAGAAATTAATTTCAAAAACATGTAAATTGCTTGTTATTTACAAAAGGAATTAATATATTTGTTCAGAAAAAAAATTAACTCAGAATAACAAGAAGCAATTTCACGACTCTCGTTTTTTAAATTTCTGCTTTAATATATATAGTATAAACTACTTAGTAATATCTA